GGGTTTAGGGTTTAGGGTCTGACGCCATCACTCCTGCCACGTTGCCAAGAGCGAGCAGCAGAAAGCTGCGCTGGAAAGCTGGCGAAATGGTCGAAGAATGCGGGGAGGACTATGGAAGGACGGAGTCGTGAACGGGGCAGAGTGGAACAAAAAGTTTGCCCTGGAGACAAGTGTGGCCGGAAGGGAAGGGAGCCGCGCTGTTCTTTTTTTGACGTTCAGATGAAGATGCTAAAGGCATGATGTGGAATCGTTGCTGGCTGTCCAAAAGCATGAACGCCGCCGTGGGGCCTCATCATCAGTCTCACCCGCGTCATCCAGTTTCTTCATCAGTATCAAAAGTTTCCCGCATTCGTCTCCTCTCCATAGTCTCTTCCACTATTCTCACACGCGTCTGGTTCTTTTCCCAAGTGCGACCCTTTGTTGTGAGCTGCGCTGTCGTCTTCCTCCACCGTTTCTTCTGTTTGACCATCGTCGTCTTTAGTACCACCATCAGCAGCATTTGCGCCACACCCAGTCATGCATGTCACTCCTAATTTCTCTTGACCCCTTGTCTCGCCACTTGTGTTTGTGTTTAAACAGGTTTATGTTTTTTCTTTCGGGCCTGGTGGCCTTCGAACCACGATTGAAGAACCTCTACAACTCACCCTGCAACCCCAAGCCCTGAATCCCCGAAGATCCGAATTACCCTAATTGTTAAAGCCCCTATCCTAGATACATCTAAATACTGAACCTTAAACCCTAAACCCTTAAATACTGAAAAACCCTTCTTACAGAAACCTTGTCGGTCCCTTACTGTACAGGAGCCCTTTTCGCCAAGCCCTAAACCCCAAATTAAACCTGCACCCGAAACTAAACCCTAACCCTAATCTCTAAACTCTAAACCCCAAACCCTAAACCCTAGACCCCAAACCCTAAACTCTAAACCCTAGACCCGAAACCGCAAAAAGGCACCTTTCTTGGCTCCTGGTTTGGCCAGAGCGGCAGGGCTGCTTGCAGCCAGGCGGCTGCAGGCCGAAGTGGGCTGGTTTCGGATTTTCGAGTTCCTGAAAGACTTTAGGGTTTTGGGGGGTTTAGAGTTTAAGGTTTAGGTTTAGGGTTTAGGGTTCCTTTAAGGGTTCCCAGAGCAGTTCAAGCAGTGTGCGGGCGCATAGGGCGCTGTATTACTTTGCATTCTTAGCAGTGTAGGAAACCGAGGTCTTAGCACGATTTTCAGGAAAAAACAGTGTTGTAGGCCTGCCGGAACCTGTTGTGATTTGGACATATTTCACCCAATCGTCATCATTTTGTACTGGTCATCGCCATCACATATCGTTGTGCACTATGTGCAAAGACGCAAGCATGCTGCAGATACAGCGTTTTCGGCATGCAGGCACAAGGCAGGAACTCTTGTGACAGTGCGTCGTCGGCCAGAAATGTCAAGCATCCTTCGGCAGTATGTTGTATAAAGTGGCGAAGCGTTGTAACTAGTAAATCCCATGGAAAAAGCAAGAACATCTAGGAAAGTGATGCGGGGCCCTATGATGCCCTGTGCGCCTGCTACCTTCAATTAAGGGTGTCTTAAAGGACTCTAAGGGCTCATCTAAGGGTTCTGCTAATAGAGGTGAGGGTTTGGGTTTTGGGTAAGGGCTTGTTGGACCGATCGTTTAGGGTCAGTATGTTGTCTGAGTAATGTAGGAACCTGATTAAGACACCCTGGCCCTAAAAACGCCCAAAATGCTAGAATCCATACTAAGACGAGCCCCAATAAAGATTCGGGATTTCTTAATCAGGCTCCTACCCTAAACCCTGAGCCCTGAACCCTAAGCCCTAAGCCCTAAACTCTAAACCCTAAGCCCTAAGCCCTAAGCCCTAAACCCTAAGCCTATATGCCCTGAGCTGAACCATGCCAAAGCTTAGCCGACTGGTCAT